CGTAAAGTTCACAGTACTGTTCACGGGTAAGGCCGCTTGCGCGCCATGCGGCAACGTGATGTTTTTTCTGATCAAGCGTCCATCGCATCCTGGGCATTGTTTACTCTCCACAGAAAGAAGTTATACGAATACCGGAATGCTAATGGCGTGAAAATTTCTGTGAAGATGAGGTCCCCGGAACATTACGATTCAAACACACAACATTCACTTGCAGTCAGCGTCGGGCATATCCATAAATGTGCTGTAAGATCATGTCCCATGATCTCAGTTTTTACATAGCACGTTGTTTTTTTCATTTTCCGTCTGAACAGATATCAATTACAGAAGATATTATTCACTATTCCTGACATCTTCCCGGACGGGACGGACATCTGAATACCTGATGTCCGTCCCTCTTTTCCCTACATCAGAAATTAATCCGGAAACCGACGCTACCCGTTACCGGCGATTCTGTATTCTCGCCATTCTGATAACTCGCTTCTGCCCACACCCCGGCATTCGCTGTCAGCTGAGCACTCACCCCGGCACCGTATTTCCCTGTGGTGCCTGAAATATCGTTAGTAAAGTTATAGCTGTCATTTATCCGGACCCTGTTGTTATCCGAAAACTCATGGCTCACAGCCGTCGTCAGATACGGTCTGACAACAGTTCCGGCAACATCAATATTCATCCCGAGATTCACCCCCACTTCACCCTGAAGCGATTTGGTTGTCCCTGCTTTCGCCTTCATACCATTATCCAGACTGATATCCTTTGATTCTGCCCGGAATGCCGTACTACGGAGATAAGGCTGAATCCAGGTGTTTTCATTCAGACTGAAGGTTCTGCCTGCTTCCAGGCTGCCACCAAAGCCATTCTGATGATAATCACCTTTCACTGCCGTGCCGTCACTCATCCAGGTGCGCAGTTCGTTCCTGAAACGGTTAACTTTGATAACGCCATCCACATAGTAACCATCATTGTTAAACCAGGTTGCATACAGACCACCGCCGGTACTTCCGACAGTACTGCTGCCACCACGGTTATGGCTGATGCTGTTATCGGTATAGGATACAAAAGCCCCCACAGCCAGCCTGCTGTCCTTCAGTTCAAAAACGGTGTCGCCGCCGGTTTCCATTCCGCTCTGGGTCAGTGAATAACCTGAGCCGGCACCACCGCTGATACGGGTATCTGACCCGGTGTACCGTCCCCAGACACCACCCGGTGAACGGGTATTCTGCATGACATCGCCATGACGAAAACGCAGACTCTGAAGCTCGCTGTTGAACACATAGACCGGTGCCGTTGCCATATCCAGCACAGCATCAGCCGATTTTGTTGTATGGCGTACCGGAGGAACCGGATTATCTGTTCCCGGGTTATCTGTTCCTGGCTGACTACTGTCAGCTTTCAGGTACCAGTCAGTATTTTCCTTGTTCAGATAGTATTCCCAGGTACCGGCATCCACTTTCCCGCCGTTCAGGCTGAACGCAGCATCGCCACTGCCGGTATGAACGACCTGAAGTGGTGTGCCTGCGGAAACAGGTTCAAGACCGGTATTTCTGATGTCCAGCACAAAATTGCCACTGGCATTCCCCGTCACATTCAGCATGTCTCCGGTATGAGATGCGATATCCGTGTTCATCCGGAATGTCCCGTTACCTGAAAGACTTTCAGCCACCAGTGAAACCGGCCGGAAAGCCTGCGTCAGGCGTGTGGTGGCTGACGGACGGAAATCGACAGTCCCGTTATCCAGCGTTAATGCACCGACAGTGGAGTCACCACCGAGATGCCAGACAGAGGCGCCCCTAACCGTCATGTCACCTGCACCAGTGTAGTCTCCCGTAACGCTCCCCGTCAGGATGCTTCCGTTATCCAGCGTCAGGGTGGTGCCTGACTGTGTCGTCACATTAGCGTTCGCCTGAAGGGTAACCATTGTCATTGCTGCGCCACCCTGAAGGGTAATCCCGCCATCCTGAGACAACAATCCGCTGAAGCGGGTGTTTCCGCCTTCCTGAGTCAGGGTACCGCTCCCCGTCAGGGTCCCCGCAAAGGTCGCCGCACTGTTGTTGAGGAAATACAGGTTTCCTTCATTTGTCACCACATCACCGACGAGCGTCCCTTTATCTGTCAGGGTGGTGGTGCCACGGAGTACACCACCGCTCTGTACAGACAGTGTACCGTCACTGCCAACAGTTGTGTCGCTGGCGTCATGACCGACAAGTACGGTCAGTAAACCACCATTTTCCAGCAACATATTGCTGGCACTGCCACCGGCAATGCTGAAGGTGCCTTTATCGTTAGTGCCGCTCAGGACAGCACTGGTATTGGTAACAATTGCGCCACCGCTGTTCTGGGTCACCTGAGAGGCTGAACCACCGGCATCCACCTGTAGTATACCGCCGTCTGTGATGGTCGTTCTTGTGACATATCCGTTGACGTACACATACTGTCCTCCGCCACTGTTGATGGTGGTATCCGTAACACTGCCGCCACTGTTGACCTTCTGAGTCCCGCCACTGTTAATAACGGTATTCACAGCTACGCCCCCACTCTCAACATTCTGCTCTCCGCCATCGTTAAGAGTGGTATCAGTGACACTGCCGCCTGAGATATTCTGAATCCCGCCAGTGTTAATGGTTGTATTTGTGGCGCTGCCACCATTGTATACCGTCTGGTACCCACTGCTGTTGATAATGGTGCTCGTGGCACTGCCACCGTAGTTGACCTTCTGATTCCCGCCGGTGTTAATAACGGTATTCGCAGCTACGCCCCCATTCTCAACATTCTGCTCTCCGCCATCGTTAAGAGTGGTATCAGTGACACTGCCGCCTGAGATATTCTGAATCCCGCCAGTGTTAATGGTTGTATTTGTGGCGCTGCCACCGTAGTTGACCTTCTGATTCCCGCCAGTGTTAATGGTTGTATTTGTGGCACTGCCACCATTGTATACCGTCTGGTACCCACTGCTGTTGATAATGGTACTCATTGCACTGCCGCTGCTGTAGATATACTGAGTCCCGCCGTTTACCGTGGTACTGATGGCACTGGCACTATCATAGATGTACTGATAGCCACCGGAGTTGAGCGTGGTGTCAGTCGCACTACCGCCGCTGTAGATATGCTGAAACCCTCTGTTTACCGTAGTACTGGTGGCACTGGCACTATCATGGATGTACTGATAGCCACCGAAGTTGAGCGTGGTGTCAGTCGCACTACCGCCGCTGTAGATATACTGAAACCCGAGCTCGTTTACCGTGGTACTGACGGCACTACCGCCACTGGAAACATACTGGCTTCCACCACTGTTGATGGTGGTATCCGTGGCCGTATCACCGGCATTCAGTAACATAGATGAACTCGTTGCACCGCTCCCCAGTGTTTCATTGTTATAATCCACCGCCAGAGCAGGAGCAGATGGCAGAAGCAGGCCAGCAATCAGCCCCGCCAGTGCGGTACGCCTGATTTGCCGGGGGCGACGACCGCCTTTACGGGTCAGTTCTGAGGTAACGACCCACATCCCGGTGGATTCATTCCATACAGTGTTATAAACCTTGTTCATGATTCGTTCCTTTTGTAAGACAGGCTTTATCTCCCTGCTTCATCAGGGAGGCATGGAGTCTGCTGATAACGCCATTAACCTGTGTGCCTGTTATCAGTCGGGTGCATTCAAATTGCCGGTCCGTGTTTTTATGTCTCGGACACCAAAGAAAATCCTTATGGTCAAAATTCAGTGATGTATCGTCCCAGCATCCGTTACAACCATGGGAATTGAACACCCGCCACGGGGTATAAAACTCACTGTTCGGCAGGCTGAAGCCACTTATCAGCACCACAGGAATGCCGGTTGCCCATGCCAGCCATGACAGCCCACTGGCCAGGCCAATGAAGAAGCTGGCATGACGCAGCAGATTAACCCGCTCCTGTAGCGGAAAACTGCCGGTAAAGTCTTCAGCTCCCCAGGGAATGTGATTCCAGACAAAGCCCTGACCGTAATGAGCGTCCCGGTCAATACACAGCACCCGGTAGCCCAGCGATTTCAGGTGAGCAACGACCTCACTCCAGCCGGTGCCGTTATTCCAGTATTTTGCCTGGCAGGTGGATTGAGTGGCGATACACACATAAGGCTCCCGGATGGTCCGGGGGGCGGACAGGTCAAGCCGGACCGGTGCTTCCCGTGGGTCAACGCCCAGAATGTAACCGGCTGAACGATGAAAACCGACCTGACGAAAATCCACCGGCTGGTTATTTGTGTCACCACCAAAATAGAGCCCCACCCGGTATGTTGCATAAGGTTCAGTTGTGCGTGGTTTCTCCGGCGTGGAGAAACATATCTGCGGATATTGTGGTGCCAGCAGGTCAATGATGTCCTGCGCCATTGTGCACTCCAGCCGGCACTGATGCAGGGACTGAAAACGTTCGGCATAAGGGAACCAGCCCAGCAGGTCACCCAGAGTACCGGTGGGGAATGAAATCAGAACATCACGGTCCGTCAGGTTCAGCGTTTCATCCAGCAGGGGAGTCTCTTCGCCCTGACGGAACACCTGAATACGGAAGCGCACAAAATATTTCTTGCTGCTGGTCACCCAGCCATTACTGATGTCACAGCAGAAAAGAATATTTCCGGAGTCTGCATCCAGCAGGCGCACATGCCATTTACCTTCAGGTAGGAGCACCCGTGCTCCGTCATTAAAGTCATACAGGATGTTGTCGGGGCCGTGCTGAGTGGGAATATCCGGAGGAGAAATAAAAAACGTTGCTAACGGCTTCTGCATACTTTTATCACTAGAGTAATATTATTAAATGAAGTGTAGTATAATTATTCAGATGCGACCCGGTATTGTTATGCTCTTGCAGTGCATTAAAAAACAGTTCCCGGTTCAACGGAAAACAGACAGCATGTTTGTCACAGAAATATGAACATTTTTCCGACTATATGCATCACAACCACATCATAAAAATTCCGGACTCATAACCAGGACTACGCTGTTATCAGCCATTACACAGCAGGGAAAACTGATTTCTGTTCCGTACTGGCTGTGTACATACCTGATACGGGCTGTAATTAACATTGCAATTCCCCCCCTGCCAGCGCGAGGTCGCGGACTATATCAAAACAGAATAAAAGAGAAAAACAGAAAATCCAGAACAATCAGCCAAGATAACAACAAAATCAGGTATAACAAACCAATAAACGCACCAAAGTCAAGAATGTAGCGCAAAAAAATAAGCAA